TCTGTCTGTCTGTCTGTCTGTCTGTCTGTCTTTTACTATGTAGTACAGTAAAAGCATAACAGTGTTCATGCTTTTGTTCTTAGGTGAAAGTATTAGAGAAACACTCAGCCAGTGAGGAGAGTATGATGGCGTCTGTCCTCACCAGAGGGGATTGTTTTGGAGAGAGAGGGTAAGATTCAACCCTCACCAGCAGGGGGCGCCACTCTTTGAGAGTTACATCGCAGCTTACTACCCATTCTGATCTAACACAACAACTTTGATTATGATATTTGTTGTTAAATGTTTATGTAGGACCAAAGAAATTCACAACAACCATGTTTATTAACAAAAGAGTAGCATATATATATTTTAGATCACTTATGTAATGTACTGTAGGTTGTGAACCATTGTTCTAACTTCCCCAGAAGCTCTAAACAAGAGAACTGCAAACTTGTGCGTGTTGAATGCTTTGTGGCTTCACTGAAGACCATTGAAATTCAAGTCAGAAGGTATCATGTAACATTAACATCTCAGACCTGTTCCTTTGCTCTTCAGAGATGACGAGAGGTCGGTGAGTGCACTTGCCGCAGGCGATGTGACATGTTTGGTCATAGACAGAGAGTAAGTGTGAGCCGTGAGGGATACATGGATATTCATGCTATGGAAACAGCATAGTGGGGGAAAAAAACATAACTAATTCAAACTTATGCTGTAAAGCTGACCTTGGCTGCATTCCACCATCTATATCCAGGGTTTTCAAAAAAGTAACTGGAGGCTTGGACGACGCCAGAGAAAATCCTACCAACAAAGCCAGATCGAAGTAAGTTCTGTTAATATGACTTGAAAGTCTGCATGCTTTACATGAACCACTGAGTGTGATGGTTAATGAAGGTCATTTTGATCTCTGTATAATAAACAGGGCAGATGAAGATGGGTCTGCGTTTGGTGAAACGTCTCTCTGCAGTTTTCAGGTGCTGTGTAATCTGGGGGAAGGACAGTACGGTCACACTCAGCTCGTGAGTTTTCAATGAGTATTGTACGATGTGCATCATAAACTAGCCCTGCAGTTTAAACGTATTTTAATTTACAAAACAAAGTTCCATGTAGTAATTATAATTCAGCCAATGTTTTTGTCACTAGGTCCATTTGAAGAGTGACTCCAGCTGTAAGTTTGCATTGAAGACCATACGAAAACAGGTGATACAGAGCCCAGGCCAAAGAGAGAGGATACTTGCAGAGAAACACATCCTGATGGATCTCCAAAGTCCATTTATAGTAAGGTCAGACCATTAGGACACCATAGGACAGGGGTGTCCAATCCTGCTCCTGGAGGGCCAACATCCTGCAGAGCTCAGCTCCAACACACTTGTTTGTGTGTTTAATTGGGGTTGGAGCTAAACTCTGCAGGACATTGGCTTTCGAGGAACAGGACTGCAGTCTTTTTTGTCTTTGGAGAAAGTTCTTAATGTTTCATTAAAGGTTCATCAAATTTGTTTCTGAGTTCTAAAGCGCCAGCACATACAGTAGATGGTTTCTGAAAACTAGATTATTAAAGGTTCTTTGTGGAATGATGTGTGAAATGGTTTTCCAGTGGAATCAGGCAATAACACCCATTTTGCATTTAATTAAATCCTTTTTAAGCAGTTGTATTCCTTATTAGATACACTATTGTACAAGCTCAGAAGTTTGGGGTTGGTAAGATTTTTGTGATTTTAAAAAGTCTCTTGCTTGCTAAAGCTGCATTTATTTATTTATTTATTTTCAAAAGTACAGTAAAATCTATAATATTGTGAAATATTATTACAATTTAAAATGTGTTTTCTATTTTAATACATTTTGAAATGTATTTTTTTTCCTGTGGTGTAAAGCTGAATTTTCAGCAAAATTACTCCAGTCTTCAGTGTCACATGATCCTTCAGAAATCAGTCTAATATGCTGATTTGGTACTAAAGAAACAATTCTTATTATCATTGTTGAAAACAGTTGTGCTGCTTAATGATTTTTGTGGAAGCTATGATGATTTCTTTTTTCAGGATTATGTGATAAATCGAAAATTCAAAACAACATCATTTATTTTAAATATTTTTTTAAGAATGTAAAAGTCTTTACATCACATTTGATCAATTTAATCCATTCTTGCTGAATAAAAACATTAATTTCAATTAAACCAATCTTACAGGTGCATCTCAATAAATTAGAATGTCGTGGAAAAGTTCATTTATTTCAGTAATTCAACTCAAATTGTGAAACTCGTGTATTAAATAAATTCAGTGCACACAGACTGAAGTAGTTTAAGTCTTTGGTTCTTTTAATTGTGATGATTTTGGCTCACATTTAACAAAAACCCACCAATTCACTATCTCAACAAATTAGAATATGGTGACATGCCAATAAGCTAATCAACTCAAAACACCTGCAAAGGTTTCCTGAGCCTTCAAAATGGTCTCTCAAGGTCCTAGAGTCTGGAGGAAGGGTGGAGAAGCTCATAGCCCAAGTTGTTTGAAGTCCAGTGTTAAGTTTCCACAGTCTATGATGAATTGGGGTGCAATGTCATCTGCTGGTGTTTTTTGAAAACCAACGTCACTGCACCCGTTTACCAAGAAATTTTGGAGCACTTCATGCTTCCTTCTGCTGACCAGCTTTTTGAAGATGCTGATTTCATTTTCCAGCAGGATTTGGCACCTGCCCACACTGCCAAAAGCACCAAAAGTTGGTTAAATGACCATGATGTTGGTGTGCTTGACTGGCCAGCAAACTCACCAGACCTGAACCCCATAGAGAATCTATGGGGTATTGTCAAGAGGAAAATGAGAAACAAGAGACCAAAAAATGCAGATGAGCTGAAGGCCACTGTCAAAGAAACCTGGGCTTCCATACCACCTCAGCAGTGCCACAAACTGATCACCTCCATGCCACGCCGAATTGAGGCAGTAATTAAAGCAAAAGGAGCCCCTACCAAGTATTGAGTACATGTACAGTAAATGAACATACTTTCCAGAAGACCAACAATTCACTAAAAATGTTTTTTTTTATTGGTCTTATGAAGTATTCTAATTTGTGGGTTTTTGTTAAATGTGAGCCAAAATCATCACAATTAAAAGAACCAAAGACTTAAACTACTTCAGTCTGTGTGCACTGAATTTATTTAATACACGAGTTTCACAATATAAGTTGAATTACTGAAATAAATGAACTTTTCCACGACATTCTAATTTATTGAGATGCACCTGTATGTCCCCAAAATACAGATATTGCCCTTGCATATCAGCCTGTCAGTTAATTGCCAATTAACTTTTTAATGTGTCAATTGCGATGTTGTGTTAGACTGTAAGATTTAAACATTTTATATTTTTTGTCAGGTTGCATTGCACGTATAAAGATGATCGGTGCCTGTATATGCTGATGGAAGCTTGTGAAGGTGGAGATCTGTGGAATTTACTGAGAGAGAGGTACATACTGTCTCAGCATCTCAGCATACATACAGCGATATATGCATACAATTCTTCTCAACTGATTATTTTGAGTGATTTGGCTGCAAAGTGTTTGTAAATCACTTAACAGTAAGGAAGGAGTAAATCTCACATTTTAAGGAATTTATACCTAATCTATATAGCCTGAAAGTATATACACAAATAAAACATGTAAAGACTAAATGCTACAGTGAATATGTCATCTTATGAACTGAACTGAACAGTGACTGACTACTATGTGATTTGATGTTTCAGGGGGTCACTGGAAGACGACGCTGTTCGCTTCTACACAGCATCTGTGCTGGAAGCTCTTCATGTACTTCACACCAAAGACATTGTTCACAGAGACCTGAAACCTGAAAATGTGCTACTGGACCAGCGAGGATATGCTAAACTGGTGCTGAATACATACAAATTCATCCATGTTTAAAGTTAAACCAGTTGGCAGCCTGTAACTACTTGATTGTGATGATTCATGTTGGGTAATTTTAACTATTATAACACTTCAGTTTTGTTTCTCACTCTATCAGACAGGGTTTGGTTGTGCTAAGAAGCTGGGCTCTTTGCACAGAGCCTGGTCATTCTGTGGATCTGTGGGTTATCAGCCTCCAGAGGTCATTCTGCGTCAAGGTCACGGTCTGTCTGCAGATCTCTGGGCTCTAGGGATGTTGCTGTATGAACTGCTCAATGGCAGGTGAGGGATCTTTAGATGTCTTGTCTTGCTTTTTTATTTTTTGTGATTTTGCAAAGGCAGTACACAATGGTACAGTTGACTATTGTAGGTTTATATACAGTATAAGCATCAAGTAATGTTATGGTTTATTTTTTAAATAAAAATAGCAAAAAAAGACTGCACACTATTCCCAAGGACAAAAATCCAACAAAATTCAGTGCACAGAACAAAAAGGTGACATTTATAAATAAACTGAAACACCTGGGTTTATTTGTAGCTTTAGACATAGTACACATATCTTTTACACATAGTAATTTTCAAAGCATCTGTAGCATGCTTGTTCTTCAGCATGCATTAAAAAATGGGAAAACTAGTAGCAGTTAACATACAGTATTTAGAATTGAAGTTTAGCAAGAAAGTGGGCAGCACTACATATAAATGTTTAAAAAGAATAACCAATAAAGACAATTCTGACATAATTATTTCAGTTTTAATTTAGGTTTGTATTCACATATAAACATTGATCATAGAGCACATAAAAAATGTGGCAAACCAGTGATGTTTGTTCTTGCGTGACAAGCAAGCACAGCTGAGCTTCTGTTGGTACCATATATGATGGGCTCTATGTATGTGCATTAATAAATGTTTATATATTAATAAAAGCCTAAATTAAATCTATTTATCATATAAAACACTTTTTTTTATTCCATTAAACATTACACATGGTAGGGTGAGACTGATCATAACATGAATACTGTACCTTGAAGTAATTCCGATTTCTTTTGCTTGGTATCAGTGCAAAAATACAGGAAGCAACATGAGAGGAACACAACTCTTTACTACCAGAAACTGGGTTACATAACAATACATTCATCCACTCCAAAAAAAATTAAAAACAGTCCAACTTCAAACGGATATTTTAACATTTATACCTAAATTAAAAAGTGTGCTTTTAATGAACAAAAAAACAAAAAATGCTTTAACAAATCTATGAACTTAAAATTTTTAAACCCTGCATCTCATCTGCTAGGCCTTCATTGCTAAACATGTTTTAAATTTTACATTTAATTTTCAATTTCAAGTCCCCTGTTCTCTGGCTCTGAGCAACTGAAGGTTTCTACAGCAGCTCTGAAGGGAATAGATGAGCTAGAGTTCCCCAAAACAATCAGCAGGACTGCAGCACATCTCATCAAGAGCCTCTGCAGGTAAAATTAGAGTGTTTCCTCACAGTGTCTGTTTCCTATATGGGAGAAAAAAAAGTTGAGAAAAGGCTTGGTAAACCAAGTGAAGTCTGTCACTCCTTTTCTTGAGAGAGTTAAATATCAAAGACAGACAGACAGACAGACAGACAGATAGATAGATAGATAGATAGATAGAATGATCAACAGACAGAGATAGATAGATAGATAGATAGATAGACAGACGGACAGACAGACAGACAGACAGACAGATAGATAGATAGATAGATAGATAGAATGATCAACAGACAGAGATAGATAGATAGATAGATAGATAGACAGACTGGACATAGATAGATAGATAGATAGATAGATGGACATAGATAGATAGATAGATAGATAGATAGAATGATGAACAGACATAGATAGATAGATAGATAGACAGACAGAGTGGCAGTGTGAGTAGCAGTGCTCTACATATGCTCTGGGGTTTGTATGTCTGAGTCTCCTATAATCTGTCACCCATTTTCCAGGCTGAACCCCTCAGAGAGGCTGGGCCAGAGGAACGCGGTCAAGGACATCTGCAAACACGTGTAAGACCTACTCTTCATCAAATAAATGTGTACACAAGGAAGAAAAGGGATTGGTGTGTGTGTGTGTGTGTGTGTGTGTGTGTGTGTGTGTGGGGGGGTTTGTGAGATTAGATGAGAGTGGAAAAGAAAAGAGCAAAGAAGAGGAGAGGATGCTGTTCTGTTTTTAAGTGCTGGCTTATTTTCTGGACTGATTACCTTGTGTTGTGTTTCTCAGGTGGTTTGAAGGCTTCGACTGGGAAGGACTTCAGAAGGGCACAATGACTCCACCAGTAATACCAAATGTGAGCGGCATCACTGAACACCGTAGAGTTGAGAGCACTCTATTCAGCTTACACTTTTATAACAAACACCTTTCAAATGATGCATCTGTCCAGTTTGAATAAATGTAAACTTTCTACAGGTTCCTTGTGTCTCTGATCACGGAGGATCATCACTCCTGCCAGAAACCCACATTGAAGCAGCACCATTGGATGATTCTGGCTGGGATGTAGACTTTTGATTTGTACAATGGTGATATGGATGATGTAAATTGGAAAAAATAATGGACTCTAGTGTTTATTTTGCATTAACTTTGCAGTTGATTATTTTTAATATTTTCTTCAGAGTTAAAAACCAATGTAGGCGATGGTACACAGCTTCAGGACTTAATAATCAACCCTGGAACTACAATGCACTTCAAATGTGTCTCTAAGAAATGCAGAAATTGTATGTGATTCCTATTGGATTTCTTTCTATGGAAGCTTATTTCTGCCACAGAATAGAAATATAAAAATGGTATTTATATTTCACTTTTTTTCAGGATTGTGATAAATAGGAAAATACCAAATTTTGAGATATAAACTTGCAATTATGAAATAAAGTCAGAATTGTAAGATAAAAAGTCACAATTACCTTTTAATTCTGACTTCTTGCAGTTGAAAGTTTTTCCTCACAATTCAGACTTTCCTTCTCAGAATAGCAAGTTTTTCTCTAACAATTCAGACTTTTCTTCTCAGAACTGAGTTTATATCTCACAATACTGAGTTTATATCTTGTAATTACTGTTTTAATTTTTTTTATTCTGTAGCAGAAATAAGCTTCCATATATTTCAATGGGAAAACTTGAAATAATCCTTTTTAGGTCTTTAAGAACACATACTGTATTTCTTAATGGAAATATTATTACTAATGGTGTGGTCACATATTGTTCTGTGAATTTTTGCAGGTGAAATCCTGTCATTTCAACAGGAATCCACATGAGTGTAAATTTCGTGTGATGGCGAATGATTTCCTCATGCAGATACAATAGACAATGGACCTTTTCTGCCTGCGAAATCTTGCCAAAAATGTGACTGTCCCTATAGGACATAAAATAAAAACTGAAAGAAATTCTACTTTCAGTAGTTTAAACCTCCTATAGTTCTCATCGACCATACGACTATATTTCAACCTTATTTCTAAACTGAATAAAATGGGTTTTGTCTTTATTTTCCTATTGACAGATTCTCTACAGTCCTCATACATTATATGTGTATTTGCATTGCTTTGACCATTCTCTGTAGATCCCTCCTTCTCGCACGCCACGATTGGCTGATTTTGTATAATGCCTGCACGCTATTGGTCAAACTTTTTTGTTTGAAAAATCAAGAATGGACTGAAACATATCCTTTTATTGAAACATTTCGCCACATACATTTGCTTTTGCCGCTCAGACCTTTTATGTCCTATATGTGTAGTATTTATGTATGATAATCCGCGCAGCTTTCAGTGGGTGGGACAGTTTGAAATTATTAATAAAGAAACATGGATGAATGAGAAAGTAAAGAGCGGGATGTGCTTGATTAAAAAGAAACATTAAAATGGCAAAAGAAGCCGCAAAAGAGGACTGAACATGGCGCGCCCAAACAATCAAATACACACAGCAGTCTCAGTGACGTCACAATGACACGACTTCTAAAGATTCGCATCTTCAGTCTCACACCGCTTGTCTACATAAGACGCCAGCGGCGTGACGCGACAGGATAATAGATAATAGAACCCATTATAATCCGTGATACAAACACACGCGTATTCAATTTTTTAACAGATGCATTTCTGGTCTCAATTTGTAGCGTTTTATTTCTTACAATTTATACTTTTGTAATTTCTGTCATGGAAGCGGGCACATGACAAAAGAACGAATGACTCAAACCCAAAGACTCGAGAGGTGAACTAATCAATTCTGTTTCCGATACAGACTGCATTATAGCCTATGGGGTTGTGACGGGATGAATGAATGACTCAAACCTGAAGACTCAAGAGATGAACTAATCAATTCTGTTTCCAGTACTTACTGCATAGCTGCAGCTTACAGGGGTGTGACGTGACAAAAGAACGAATGACTCAGATCTAAACTAGACTGCATAGTTGAGGTCTACTCGGGTCCTAAATCTGTAGGCTACTCAACCCGAATCACTTCTTACCTGAACCTGATGTGTATACATTTTTTTCTTTAAAAGAAAAACCTGACCCGAGTCCGACCCAAGCTGACTGCATTTATTTTCGAACCCGACTGTCAGTAAAGAAAAATCCCTGTGTCCTGTTGACTGATTTGGCCACTTCTCCATTACTTTGATTTATTTTACATTTATTTAATTTATTATTACTTTATATTACTGCTTGCCTGATGGATACAAGTTATTTCTGAGTTTGGCTTTCAATTCTGACCAGTGGTTTGGAAAAAATAAACGTGATAGCTCGATAAAAATTAAATCGATATTCTAATAAATCATGGATTCGTGTTGTCTGCTCTGCAATGCTATTTACCTCATCTTCCGGCGAAGGGATTCTGCACAAAAAAAAAACAAAAAAAAACCTGCCCTGCATGAGCACGCACTGTAATGAAGCGAGTGGCTTTTCCTGATGGATCTCATATCTATAAGATGGATTTCTGTGTGCGAGGTTATGAACATATGTTCCTTTTCTATGTACATTTCTCAAAAATGCACTTAACACCAATGCACAATTCCGTTAAAGGGAACCCTATGTCTTATCGGGTCCATTAGGAAAAAGCACATTAATTTTAAATTACCCGAGACCCAAGGCAACTAAAACTGAACCCGACCCGTGTCTGAGGCACTTTTTTGGACCCGAACCCTCTCGGGTTGGACCTTGGGTTTTCAGATCCAAGTGGACCCGTTACTGCATAGCCTCAATGAATTAATTGTTTCTGTTTCTCATAATATGGCCTTGGTTGCATTATAGTTTATTTTTCTTATTTTAAATGTGATCAACTAAGTAAGTAGATGTGTTGGGGAATTTGGTTATTAACATGTAACATTTTAATTATATTCTGCTGAAATGAATGAAATAAAATGACTTGGAAAAAAGATTTGTTCATTTGATGAATCAAAGATCCAAGTTAGTAAAATGATCTGAACTTCCCGTCACTAGAGTGTTTCTTTGTGAAGCTTCATTCTGCGAGTTTGTGTTTAGGACTTGCAATTCCTGCGAAGGACTTGACGTGTCTGCTGCTTCAGTTTGTGCCGGCACAGACTGGTACCCGGTTTACTCGTGCACACCCTGGGGTGAGGCGCTAGCACACGCTTAGATTGGGTGTAAGGCAGCGCTGAGGATCCCCAGCCCCAGGCAAGCACGTGAAGCTGGCCCTCTCCTCAACATATACACCAGGTTCACACATACTCTGTCTGCAGTGCGTATGTTTCAGCACATAGAGTGGTTATGGGGAATGTTCCTTCCTTTGTTGGGCCAGTTAGGTTTAGGAATGGGCTGCCTCCCCAGGCTTCTGGGTATTTTTAAGTGGGCGGTCCCTCTGAATCCTGCTTATTTAGTTTGAGCTGAGTAGATTGTTCCCCCTCTCCAGGCCTTTAAGTGAACAACCCCTGCTCAGAGTGTAGCTCTCTGCAAATAGTTATGCTCCAGCACAAACTTACTTTGCTCTGGAATATAGCGGTCTGAGGGCAGCTGTGTTCTAGCCTGGCTTCTATGACTAGGTTGGGTTCCCCTTGGCACAAGCTCTCTCAAGTAAGCGTTGAAGTCTTTGTCTAGGAATCTGCTATTCGAGGATATTTGTGTTCCAGCTCCGAGACTGATCCACTTGTTTTTAAGTAGTGGTGTCCTTGAGCCCCTTGCCTAGACTGTGATGTCTCCCCTGTTTGTGTTTTAAGTAGATGGCCCAGTTCCATGGTCTGGGCAGTCTTCAGCCTTATCTGAAGGAACTGCTATTCGAGGATAGCTGTGTCCAGCCCTCTAGTGTTATGGGCACTGCTTGTATAAGGCTTTGATCTAGGACTAATTACTGGACTAATGTTTTATGTGTTCGCTCTTTAGCGAATCATTTAGTGATGGTCCGGATCTCCCTCTTGTGAGCTTCTGGTCAATAACATGGTAGTTGCTAGCATCTATGGGACTGACACTGATTGGGGACCTGCATAGTACAGCCATCTGAGGATGGTTATATTCCAGCCATTGTTATGGCAGGACGGGCTTACTTAATACAGCTATCTGAGGCTAGCTGTGTTTTAGATTGCAGTTGCAGTGAGCCCTTTCCTGAAAACATAGCTATCTGAGGATAGCTATGTGCTAGCTCGGTGATTGCTCCCCTGCTTAGGGTTTCTAAGTAGCTGTCTCCTTGAGCCCTTGCCTAGATAGTGCTGTCTCCCATTATATGTTTTTTAAGTAGACAGTCCACTTCTGGTGGTCTTGGCAATTGCAGCGGTCCCCTTTCCTAGAGCCTAGGAAAGGGGACCGCTGTCTGAGGATAGCTATGTGCAAGCTCAATGATTGCTTCCCTGCCTAGGGTTTTAAGTAGCGATCTCCTTGAACCCTGCCCTAGACAGTGCTGTCTCCCCTCTTAGGGTTGTAGGTAGACAGCCCACTCTCTGTGGTCTGGGCAGTTTCAGTTGGTCCCCCTTATGGTAGCCCCTTCCTAGGTACATAGCTATCCTCAGATAGCGATGTACTAGCTTAATGTTTGCTCCCCTGCTTAGGGTTGTAAGCAGATTAGTGCTATCTCCCCTGCTAGGGTTGTAAGCAGATAGCCCACTCTCTATTGTCTGGGCAGTTTTGAGGGAATGTCTTTCTTGATGGCTAGCTGAGGCTAGCTGCATATGGTTTATCTTGGTCTATGAACCTTTCATAAGACCCTTAGGATATAGATATCTGAGGATAGCTGTATTCTAGTTCATCAGCTACTCCCCTTACTTGGGCTTTGAGTAGCAATCTCTTTGAACTTCTATCTAGAGGTTTGCTTGTTTGCCTCTTCAATGGTCTTGTGAATCCAGGTTAGTATTGCTCACATAGCATAGCTATCTGAGGATAGTTGTGTTCTTAACTTTGGTTTGGATGTTCCCTTGTATCTGAATAGGGTTCTTCGTTTCTGCCAAGTTATGTGAGCAGCCCAGGGCGTCAATGGCTTGGCCCCTTTCTGAGGAAAGGCTTGTTGTATGTCTGTCACTTCCTTGGTCTCTCACCAGTTGGACAGGCACGCGCCTCAGCATGGCATAGTTGGTATTTCATTCCCC